AGCAAGGTCGTCCCGCGGTTCGAGTGAACACGAGAAACGCCTTCGGAAAAGGCTACGAACGCTAGGGAAGGTACGAGGTGGCTTCGACACGTCGTCGAAGCTACTCGGAGGCTGGGGGTGGTTAGTGGAGACGATCAAAGCTCGGCAGAGCTCTTCGACGTATCGTAGAAGGAAAGAAAACGACTCAAAGGGGGGGGGACTTAGCTAGGACGCGGTTCGCAGTTTCTTCGACAATCGTCGAAGTCGAAGGGTTCGTCGAGACTGTATCGACGAGTAAACGCAGTGGACGAGGTTTCGAGGTTACGCAGTGAGGGACGAAGTGGCGCAGTTTTAAGGCTTAGACGCGGGGCGAACTCGACTTATGAGCTCTGAACTCGAGGGGGGAACCGGATCTTGTCTTTTTGGAGAGAAGTACGACAGATTTTATACTACACAGGACGCTACGACTATTCAAGAGTGGCATACGAGTACAAGGGGCTTTGCATTGTTCCTCAAGAAGCTGCCTCACCGAGGGGCACACACCAAGTCCATCGGTAGAGTGACGTCATGCTGAATGCGGAGATGAAGAGCAACATATGGCCACTTCGGACCGGTAGCCGTCGTGAAGGCATGCCGCGAAGTTCGATACCTAATCGGGAAAGACCGGCTACTTCGGTGTGGCTTGGAGCGAAGCGCGCACTTGGCCGAGCGGCGTCAAGTGGCCCTATTGTTCGCCGAATGCGGAAGATGTTCCGAGATCTACGCACGAGGCATCGGGAAGACCGTGCCGAGCTTCGAGTAAGCGTCGCGCACCGTCGAAGGTGTCGAAGAGCGTCGAAGGCGAAATCGAAGCGTTGGGAGACTGAGTTGAAGTGCTGGGCGGGATGCGACTGCCGAAAAGAGGTGAATCAGGGCCCAGAGGGGCTTGGCGCCTATCACCGGCCCCCGGGGCCGCATTGGCATGCTGTGCACGGACCAGCTGCACACGGACCAACGCGCACAGCCTGCCCTTATCTCCCCATGTATATAAGCCGGCCTCTGCTGCCCTAGGGACCTCAGTTTTGACCTCTTGTCCCTAGGTCAGTAAGCCTTCATTTGTATTCTTTCTTACCTTACTAACTAATACATTTTCTTGTCCCTAGCCTTAGGTTTGAGCGTTGCTCACCATTGCTTCGGTAAGAATCAGTCGGACACCCCCAGCCTTCAGGTATCCCCCAGTCACTTGACCTCAAGTCGCGACAGCTTCCATTCTTGACAGATAGCAGCACACATATTCAATGTGTCATAGTTGTGCTCTGAACACAGTTCATCGATGATCATCCACGAAATGTCCAACAGGAGAGGGCCGAACATGGTGGATTAGGCCAGGGTGCTGTGCATGTGTTGAAAGCAAGTGCAACATGGAAACCTCAGTAGATCTTGATATACATTAAGAAGCACTCTAGCGGCGTCTCTGCCACTGCACCTCAAGCACCGCAGCCGTCATCTTGGGCAAGGCTGTAGAAGTTACATGATGCCCAGAGTTGTGTATATTTCCCCACGCCGCACTTTCTGAGCCGACTTCACCGAAAACTGAAAGGGCCCACAAACAGATGTCTGTCTTCATGATCTATCATACAGATCGTCCAAAGTAGAGAACTTTGTGCTTCGATGAATTGTATGTGTTGTACACAAATAGTGGGGATCCAAGTACTGATAGCTGAGCAAAGTTGATATCCATACAGCAGGGTAAGATGAGCAGAGCACACAAGCGAGTAGTATGCATAGGACGCGATGACAGCAGAGAGCATACACAGCGCCAAAGAGAACGAACAGCAATAAATCGCAGAACATAACAGCAGTAAATGAGCGGGAACGCAACAGCAAGAAATCAGGATGATGGGTAAAGCAGGACACGGCGCACCAAGTAATCACGCGCCAGTCAGCAGCGCTGCACAATCGACCAGTACTTTATTGCTTGGAGCATGGTGAACAGCGCGGCCACAGGTGATATTGCCGCGAGTAATCCCGGGACTTGAGAGCAGAAAGGTAGTATGCGAGGGACAGACGCATCCACGAATGCTGATAACGGTTAGGAGGCATGCTGTAGAGCTTTCGCAGTATGTCTCTGGCGTAGTGACAGGAACAAATGTTGGAGGATAGAAAGTGCTCCGCAGGAGCCTCGGGATTCGCGCGCTGTGTTTATGCATACAACAGATTCGACAAGCAAGCCACGGATCAGACGTGTGTCGTTGACGTGAAGGAAGGCCATCCTGCGCTTTGTGCGTCGCTCAGGCGCTTGACGGCCGTGCCCTGACGGATCCCGGAGGTATTGCTTTCGCGTGCGCATAGTGTATGGCTAGACGAGCAAAATAGTATGTCTTATCGACTTAATGTCGATACGGCGAGGGGAGAGGAACATGTTAGAGGATGTAGAGATATGTGGGAGTATCATTGTACTTCTGTGGCTTGCGAGAGACCGGCTGTGATGTGCTCCTCTCCGCGGTACGAATGAAGGCCCGGTATGGCTTTCGTTATAAGCACGACTAGCGGATGATAGTTGCCATTTATAGTTGACATGCGCCTGGTAGACGTTTCACACTTGATGCTATGAACAAGGCACATCTGTTTTTATAGCGACGACTCAGAGGATGCCATCAGTACGCACCACAGAATACCCCACCCCCGCGCATCTAGCTTTGGTAAGCACGACCTCACCCTAGCCTCCAGATTGTGTGGGAATGATTCTTCGAGGCGTATTTGTATCCGGACTTTTGCAAGCTTGCCAAAGACTGCTTGCGAGAGGACTACATCGAGCTCCGAGAGGCTTGACCACAGCTTTGGAGGGACTACTTCGTCCATCACGTGCAGGGTTAAACTGAAGTCAGATATGCGCGTTGACGTAACCCGGTGAAGAAGTTCTAGAATAGGATCAATGTGAAACCGGTCCTTGCGGGCAATATCCATCGAGCATTCAAGGTGTCGGAGGCGCTTATTCCTCGAGATGTTAAAGCAGCGAGCTATAAGTAAGTAAGGGTTATGAGTATGAGTGTGAGTAAACTGGTCGAGATCATGTTACGTGACGCACTTGTGCTTGGGCCTACATATCTCGCCGCTTTATTGTATAGCAGGAAATCGTCTTGCGAGATTACACGAAGACGGAGGTCATGCAGTGATTGCCCAGCATGTTCGACTAGTCTATTGATAGCGACATCTATGCTTGTTGTTGTACGCAAAGATAAAGGCAGCCAAGCGTGTATCGAGTTCAAAAGGTCGCTAGCTCCAGTTCGAATGAAGACGGCGACGAGATCGTCCAGAGATTGAGGGTCAGAGCATAAGCAACATTTGTAACCTAAGTCAAGTTCTCTCAAACTCGACATGAACACGCCGGGGATTACGGGCACATCACTGTAATCAAAGTCATGTTTGGAAAACATGCATGGCCCCTGGATTTGGAGTTTGCTGAGGACGGGAAGGGCGCCAAGCAAGCGTGCAAAAGCGGCAACTGTCGGAAAGCTTACATCCCAGAGCTTCAGAGCCTTGACATTGCACCATGGAGACGTATGAAGAGATAGGGTGGTCCTCTCGATGGATATACGGTCCATTATATTGGAGACCCATTGAAGTAGCCCAGTGGAATGACTTGCAAGGGTTGTAGGCCGGTCGCCGATGAATTCCTCGGGCCGCACCAGGGTTATAGAGTTCAGCTTGAGAGCAGACAGAACGGGGAAGGTCGAGAGCGTTCGAGCATCGATGGCGTATTTGACAATATTTATGTCCCAGAGAGAAAGGGAATTGAGGGATGGGAGGGCGCAGACCAGGCGGAAAAACGTCAGGGCGCTTGGAAACGTGACGTGACAGAGCTCGAGGCGCCTGATTGAGGCGAAGCAGGATAAATTGAGCGAGACGGAGGGAAGATCGAGATCCTGAACCCGCCACTCCGCTCTCGCAATGATGAGCTCCTCTAAGCTGAACCACTTCCCTGCGAGCCTTGAGGCGAATGTCGCCAGGTGTGGGATCGGGAGACGCTCATCACTACGTGCTCCTCCCTCGATGCATACTTTGCTCGATCCTCCCCAGCGCAGCCTCCGCGCCACATTGATGCTTGCTACCTCCTCCTGTTTTCTGAATGTCACCTCCGATGGAACATACTTCTTTGCTCTCTCGTGCATTTCTCCATCACAGGCCAAGGAGATCGCTTCCAACGCGTCGTACTCGCGTTGTCGACCGAGCTCGTCGATGATAAGCAACCAGATCTCCGCCGGGAAAGATACGAATCTCGTCGGGACTGCAGCTATGAAAGTCCTGTCAAGATTGGGTTCAGCTTGAAACCTGTGTGTTCTGAAACCGCCGCGCACAAGGAAGCATTTACTACGATGATCTGGGTGTCGAGAGGAGGTCTTGGAATGTCACGACGCCAGTGCCTAGTGCGTAACATTGTTCTCCTTGCAAGAAGATTATATGAGATTGTGATTCGCTTTTCGAGCATATGGGGCGGAACTTTGGCTCTAAACGTCTCACCTCATGTTACTCAATGTCCCCCATGACTTCTGAATTGATCGGTTGGTCGCTGACGGCTCGCTCATTGTGTTTCGAATGGCGAGCGCAGGTCTGGGGCAATGGAGAAAGTGCGCACTAGAGGTACTCCTCGCTGATTATATGATAGAGTCACGAAGCGGTGCCTTTGATCCCTGCATCTCGCTTATATGGTCGTTGACGCTTATTTCCCTCGCCTATCTCGCCTTGTGCGGTTCAAGACGCTCGAAATGACTGATATTTAGACGGTATCATAGATCCACTGCCTCACATATGACTCATTTCATTGAGTGCCCCGAGGGAAGCGCTTAACGGGCGCTGAATGTGGCGTACATTGGCGATCGGCATTTGACCTAATGTTAGATCAACGTGGTGCGCTCGTGTATTCGGTCTCGTTCAAAGTGGTCTTACACGCTGACGATAGTGGTGATATTCCGACGCAGGGTTTTGACACATGGTCCCCACCACGTCGATTGCAGGAGTGTGCAGGAGTGGGGACATTAAGGGGCGTCACTACGTGTGGGGCATACTCACTTTGAAAATGACGTCAAAGCGACTGAAGACTAGACAGAACTTCCCTGTGACCCCACAAAGACCGAGAACTGGCAATGGTTGTTCCTGACCTGTTGTACTTATTCCTGTGCGATCACTGAAAAATGCACTGCCTTCCACGGTTGTGAGACACACCATCGGCACGTGATACTTGGCTCACTCTTCGACCCACTTTCATTTTACTAACGTAAATGAGGACGCTCCTAGGTGCGGGATTGAAATACTATTTCCGTCTTTCTCATTGTCTCTCTCCGTATGTAACGTACCTAGCCCCTCTAACATGGCGGGAACTCCTTCTCTATCTTGGGTATGATGTCTCTCGATGCTTTGATCTTTGTGAATGAACGCGTTGTTCTTGAAGCGAAAACATATTCCTACGCGACACTACGACATTACTCAGTAACGATCTCATTGGTTTGATCCTGATACATATTCTATCTGATGAATCATTCGCAAAAGACGCTATGATTGAGATATATACGTCAACATAATATTAAGCACGCCACGGAGGTGCGCACCTCAGAATACCCCGTGAGTCTAGCTTCGGCAGGCATGACCTCACCTCAGCTTTGGCAATCTGTGTGGATGATGCTACGCCGCACAAACTAATCCTGACTAGTCTGGCGCTATATAACACCGTCCCGCAGAGGGCCGTATCAATCTGTGCGAGGCTATCGCACAGCTTCGGAAGGAATACTTCATTGGTTATGTGGAAGGCTAAATGGATGTCGGATATGCTCGCTGACGCGACTTGGTTAAGACGCTCCATAATAGGCGCAATGTACGATTTGTCCTGGTTGATGACGTCAAGAGAGCATCTAAGGACTAAGAGATGTGTGTTCCCCCAGATACAAAGGCGATGAGCTACAAGTGCGATGGATGAACGCCAATGATTGAATCGCACCCGTCTACAGTACACACCTAAGCTTTGAGCCACCTCTGGTGGCATTGCGCTGTATAGCAATAGGTTCTCTTCCGCAACTGGGTCGAGATTAATCCAGCGCAATGATTGACCAGCACGTCGGACTAGCGTGTTAATGGCAATATTGACGCTCGGTTTAGACTGAGCCATCATGCAAGTTTCAACCCATTGTAGGCGATGATTGACACCAGTATGGATGAAGAGATCGACGAGATCAGCGATGGACAAACGATCAGAGTATAGGCAGCAGTCACGGCCCAGATTAACGATTTCCAAACGCGGTAGCATACCCGAGAGTAAAGGGACGTCTTGAGGATCAAATCCGTGTCTCGAAAATGTGCACGGCCCCTGGATGTCGAGTGTTCCCAAGACCGGAAGAGCACAAAGCAAGCGTGCAAATGTGACAGCTGCTGGAAAGATGACATTTCCGAGCTCTAACAGCGTGATCCCAGACCATGGGGATGTCCTTGAGTATGATATAGCCTGAGCTATGGATACACGATCCATGATAGTGGCGGCCAACGGAAGCAGTGCAGCAGAGCGCGTTGCAACAGTTGCAGGCTGCTCGCTTGATCGCCCGCGCGACGTGAGGGATACCATGCGCAGCTTGGTAGTGGGAAGCTTGAAAAGCCCAAGCATCGAAAGCGTTGATGCATCGATGGCAGTCTTGACGATCTCGACGTCACAAACGTCCAGTTCTCTGAGCTGTGGGAGGCTACAGACGAGCCTCAAAAACGTAACGATCGTCGGGAAGGTGACGCCGTGGAGGTGGAGCTCCGTGATAGAGTCGAAGCAGGACAGATCGACAAAGACGGACCGGAGATCGAGATCCTGCACCCGCCATTCCGCCCTCTCGATCTTCAGCGTCTTCCAATTGGGCCACTGTCCTGCCAGCCTCGAGGCGAATGTCGCCAGGTGTGGAATCAGGAACCTTTCGCCGCCGCCATGCCCTCCTCCCTCGATGCAGACCTGATTTGGGCCCTCCCAGCGGAGTTTCCGCCCAACCTTGATTCCCGCAACATCCTCTATCTTTTTGAATATCATCTTTGGTGGGATGTGCTTCTTCGCCCTCTCTTGTACTTCCCCATGGGAGGCATCGACACACGCTTTCAGCGCGCCGTACTCGCGTGCTGCGCCGAGTTCATCGATGATCAACAACCAAACCTCCACCGGGAGAGGGGTCAGGCTCATGATGTGAGTGCTACTCGACATTATCACGTCACAAAATTGACATACACTAGGAGAACGCTGCTCACTATCTTCCCGGCGTCAACAAAAGAGCTGGAAGGAACTCTCAGGTTGGAACGCGAGTGCTTAGCAGAAGGAAGGAACCTGAGCCTCCTTGCGCGTTATATTATAGTGACCTGCTGTCATGGAACAAGAAGAGCGCACCTTTCCCAATGGTATGGCTCGCACAGCTCCCCGTGTACTTCAACGCGTTACAAGCTTCCGGATAGGTCTCTGGCCAGTGACGCAGCGCTTAAGCTTTTGTCCTCTTATTCTTTAGCGGTTGAGGACGCAGAAACGGATGTTTGTTGAACATGCACACTTAAGCTCCCGGCGCCTCCAGTGCGGCTATATTTATATATAAGGCGCCGACTGATCCGAGGATCGTTAAATTTTGTAGTGTACGCGGCGTCCCCTATACCCTAACAACGCCGGCGTTCATTCGATGCAGGCCATCGGCGCGTCGCCGTCTATAGGAGCGTAAGTAGCGGTGTGCGCGTTAAGTGGCGTCGATGTCACTCTGACAGTATGGAATGTGGACTACCCTTGGTTGGCGCGATGAAGTGGGTTCTCCACCCCGGGCCTCTTACAAGTTTTTCTCCGTGTGTGACTTGTTCTTCCTCTGATATATGACTCTTTCAATACTCATGAGAGTGTTTTCATTGTGAGGCGCCGTACGAATGCGGGACGCAAATTGTACATGCCAGATGTTGAGTCGCTTGAGTCGTGGGAGGGCGCACACCATCCAGCTAGACGTCAAAATTGTCGGGAAGCTGACGTCATTGAGGTAGAAGAACGGGCGAGATAGCGTCCGGAGCGAAATCCTGCGCCCGCCATGTTGCCTCGATAACACACAGCCCGTCGACACTGTGCCATCCTCCGGCACTTTTGGACGTGAATATCGCCAGATGTGGAATAGACCGGCAGCCGTCTCCCCTCTCCACGCCATGGCTGTTTAAGCGTTCAAGTCCTGGTGTTGCAAGTCCAACTCAATTTTGCCCAGGAAGTAAGGTAGGAAGATTCGGATAACAGTTTAATACCAGATGGGACTTGTTTGAATCGACTGCATTTCCTCTTCTTCTGTACGTCTTGATCTCCTCTCAAGTTCGTCGTGACATCATACTGCCTCTGGTTCGATCATTCTGTACATATATAAATGGGCTTCTGCGCCGAGAGAACCAGCTCTCCTTTCCCCTCGAGCTAAGATTATTCTAGGCCTTTCGCGCTCAAGTATAGACGAGTGACCTGTGTGTCACAGGTACTAGGTGAGTTTTGTGCTTGATCGTTGTCGTATTCGAGCTATTGTTCGAACACATTCCGTCTCGCATAATGCGTGAGCGAGAGGAGCATCTTCCAACATCGTTGCGTGATTGTCCCTATCTCGTACACGCGCATGTAGTCTTACTATTACGGCCATACCACTCTTAATCTACTTCTAGGCTAGCCCTGATCGTCGTGAACGCCCTTCGACCTTCTTCGGATGCCGCTGCATTCGACCCTCCCACACCGGACGCGGTAGTCTTGTGGTTCAGTGAGCCTCACACCGGACGCGGTAGTCTTGTGGTTCAGTGAGCCTTGTAGCAGCCTAGCTGCAATGAGCTCTGTCCCGCTCCCAGTTCGGGCAAGGAACTTCTGAACCTCTCGCCATCCAGATGTAGATCCTGGTTTCTAACGATCATTTCGTTAGCTCGAGCTCGGCAGACATGATTCCTGAGGGATCTTGTATTTCAGTGCTATGGACACGACACATCCGTCAAGAAAGTGTGGGGACGTCAAGCCACGGGAGTACACACCGTAGAATGCCGCGTGCATCCAGCTTCGGTAAGGATGTCCTCACGCTGACTAGCAAAGTTTCGGGGGAGAATTCTGAACCACACAATGATATGACGACACTGCTAAGCCAGCCGAATACCTTTTGAGAGAGCACCCTTTCAAGTCGTGGGAAGTCGGCCAACAACTTCGGAAAGTCAAAATGGATGTGAAATGTGTGTGGCAACATGACACGGCGAAGGAGCCCCACCACAGGACGTACCGGTGAGTCATCCTCATGAGTAACGTCGATTGAGCAGGCGAGGCGGTAGAGATGCGTATTTGCTGAAATATCGAAGCAATAGGCTACAGGCACAGTGTATCAGCGCGTAAGCTGGCAGGACCATGTTACGGAACACACCTTTGCTCGGGGCTGTATATAAGGATGCTGCATCGTGCGCGGGTGAGCTGTCCTGTGGGACGACTTGAAGTGTAATACCCTTCAGTGATTGGCCAGCATACGCGACCAATCTATTGAGAGCAATATCTGTGCTTGCTGATACACGCAAAGACGAGGACAACCAAACGGATACCCATTGCAGGCGGATGCGGTCTGTATCGCCATATTGAATAAAGATATCGACAAGATCATGCACGGATTGAGGATCGGAGTGTAGGGTGAAGTCCTCGCCCAACGTGATACTTGTCAATTGCAGTGTATTCCCCAAATGCACAAGGGGATCGCCGGTGGGAAAGCCATGTTTTGAGAACGCGCATGGCCCCAGGATATGAAGTACATTGAGGGCGGGAAGAGCAAAAAGCACGCGTGCAAAGGCAGAAGCCGTGGGAAGCGTGACATCCCATAACTACAGAAGAAAGACGTTCCTTCAAGGAGAAGTCGCAAGGGATGGCTTCGTCTGCGCCAATATGACCTGAAGCAGTCCAGCGGAGTGCGTTGCGGGTGATCCGGGTCGCTCGGTGGTGATCTCATCGAGCCCCATTGGTGGCAGCGTCATTCTGCCCAGCCCTGGAGCGGCCAGAAGACGCAGGGCCGAGAGCACTCGCGCATTGAAAGCAGCCTTGATGATCTCGACGTCGCGGAGCCGAAGAGTTCCGAGATGTGGGTTGGCAATCAGCCGCGTCCGAAAGGAGACGAGGCGCCACAACGTCAGGACCGTAGGGAACGTGATATCATAGAGCTGGAGTTGCACGATGTTGAAGCTGGCCAAATCGAGCAATACGGAAGGAAGATCAAGATCCTGCACCCGCCACTCCGCTCTCTCGATTGTCAGCTCCCACACCCGAGGCCATTTCCTGGCCAATCTCGATGCGAAGGTCGCCAGGTGTGGGATTGGAAGCCGCTCGCCACGACGCCTGCCTCCCTCGATTCTCACCTTCCGGGGCCCCTCCCAGCGTTGCGCCAGCTCGATGCTCGCAACCTCCTCCTGAGTCCTGAATGTCATTTCGTCTGGGACGTATTTTATCGCCCTCTCCTGAATCAAGCCTTCAGTAGCCTTCGCACACGCCTCCAATGCATCGTACTCGCGCTCTGCACCGAGTTCATCAATGATCAACAACCAAATCTCCACCGGGAGACGTGGAAGCATGTCCGTTGGGATTGCCTGCAAAAGTGCTGTCAAAGGTCAGTGCGGCTGATATTGCTTTATTATGATGTTACCATTCACCTGCACGTGTTATCCGCTGTGACGAGAGGTCTTGGTTGACCGCAATGCGAGTGCCGACCAGAGGTGTGTGGTGTCGTCCTCTTAGCTGGTGATATGAGACGGTGAATCCTTCTAGGAGCGTCTGGTTTCCCTGCTCACCCGATGGCCTTCAATCTCCACTACGACTTTCAGGATGGTCGATTGATCGCTGACTGGGTGTGTCCCGCTCGTTGAGAATAAACTGGAGAGAACACGAAAAGCTCGCAGAGATGTGGGTAGCAGAGACGGGCAGCCTCGCCCATTCGCAAATTATATGCTAGAGAAACGAGGCGATGCCTTTTCCCTACGTCTCACTTTAACGTGCACCTCGACATCACCCCCATCTCAGACTTCCATTGGGGTCACTGCGTCTTTGCCTCATACATCTCCGCGTCGCTCTCACTTGCCTCATCTCATCGCCTTGCGCGGCTCAAGAAGCTGGGAAGAACGCATGTTCGGAACTGCGCATCATACACATACAATACCTCCGGCACTGCCCCAGACCTTACACACAGCCACGCGGCAAGACTTCTATGGGCGCTGACTCGATCGAGGAATCAAGGAAGGAGAAGAAACAAAAATAATTAGAAAGCAATCTATTCACGTCCGTTCACTTTGACCTACGTTCGCCGCGTCGTGTGCTCCTTGTGCGATCGGTGAGTTATTCTTCATGCGCTAATGGCATCGCTGCAACCGACCTTCGTTTTATGTCACTGACCTCCACTTTATAGCAACGATGCCCCTTCTCTGTCACTGAATCCGTTGCCAGTGCTTGTTCCCTGCCACCCACCTTGATCATCACCTGTCATCTCCGATGCTTTATCTCCACCGCCAACGCTCGATCTTCGCCGTCGACACTGAGTTTCATCACCTACCACAGCATCTACTGGTCATTGACAAATTCCAAGACATACGGGATTAAGTAGACAGGTACGTGTCACGTACACTTCCAGCTAGAATGCGCGGAAGTAGAGGTCGAAGGCATTGCATCAAGGGTTGGTTGGCAATAAGGAGCGTGATTATTGCGGGAGCGCAAGCCAAGTGGCCAAGCGAGCATCTGCATCAACAGGAAGACAGCGTGATAAAGACCGAGCGACGTCTTTGAGGTCGAGATCGCCTGCCCATCATGCCACAAAGCACCCTTTAGACCGACATGGGTAATGTAGGGTAAATAATTCAATCAGTGTGTAAATTACTGTTTTTTACAGACCCAGGTTTTGGGACCCCCGTCACACGAAGCTTCGGCCAGCATCAATGCAGCCGTGTCACAGTTTCCCTAAATTTACCTAATTTTTCCGCTATTTCTGCGGACATATCAAAGGGTATAGGGACTTATCCATACTTATCTGTCCGCATATGGGTACAGCTGCATATCTAAGGGGTTATCCGCTTAAATAAGCGATACATGATCTTGTTCTGGACACATCAGGCTGGACTCTGATGCCGGACCTTTTCTAGATAGAAACCAGACTCCTTCTGGACCATGACATCATTCTGACATCATAGGTAGGAGCTAGGCTCAGGCACTAGGCCATAGGCCAGTCAATTCTGGACCCTAGGCCCAGGGCAGGGCAGGGCCAGACTATGACATTATATATGACATCATCGAGCACATGATACTTAGTAATCCTTACCCAGCTAGGTACCAGGGGTCCATTACCGGTCCCTGGGGGGTTTTCCCTCATGTATATAAGGCAGCATCCTGGGGCACCCT